GATTGCCTTTTACATCTGTTCAATTATAAGCAAAATGGAACTGATGAAGGAATTGGTCTCTTGTAGCCTATGGTTGAGTTTTTTGTTTTGTTTTGTTTTTATTTTTTCCGTATTTTTTACTGGTTTGTTATGGTTGCATATAACGGTGGGATTTGTTGTTATATATTCATACATGCATACAATACAACAATATAATTTGGCCAATATCATTCTGCAGTATTTCCTCTTTCCCTCTCCTCCTCTCTCCTCCTGGTCTCTTTTCTCTACTCTGTCTACTCTGTGATCTGCCTTTGCTTTTCATGAGATCCCCACCACCATCACCACGTTTCTTTACCTTTTTCTTCTCTAGCTTACACATGTGACAGAAAACATATGACCCTTGACCTTTGCAGTCTGGCTTATTTTACTTAAAATAATGATCTCAAGTTTCATCCATTTTTCCTACAAATGACATAATTTCATTTTTCTTTATGGCAAAATAAAACTCCACTGTGTATGTATACTACATTCTCTTTATCCATCTACTTGTAGATGGACATCTAGGCCAGTTCCACAGTTTTGCTATTGTGAACTGTGCTTCTATAAACAGGGAACTGCTTGTATAACTGTGTTATGATGACTTTAATTCTTTAGAATTAAAGGAATGGTATAGCTGATTCCTATGATAGTTCCATGCCTAGTCTTTTGAGGAAGATCCATATTGATTTCCATAGTGGTTTTTAGTATTTTACAATCCCACCAACAATGTAAAAGTTCCTTTTTCTCCACATTCTTTCCAGCATTTATTGTTTGTATTCTTGATAACTGCCATTTTGACTGGTGTGAGATGAAAACTCAGTGTAATTTTGATTTGCATTTCCTTAATTGCTAATAATGTTGAACATTTGTTCATATATACATTGGCCATTTGTACTTCTTTTTTTGAGAGTGTGTCTGTTTAATTCCTTTGTCTATTTATTAATTGGGTTATTGGAGGTTTTTGACATTAAATTTTTGAGTTCTTTATATATTCTTGATATTAATCCTCTGTAGCTAACACAGGTTTCATCACATTCTGTTTGTTCTCTCTTCATATTCTCAATTGTTTTCTTTTTATGCAGTAGCTTTTTAATTTGATACCATCTCATTTATTAACTCTTTTTTTAGTATTTATTCTTTATTTTTAGATTGACACAATATTTTTATTTTTATGTGGTGCTGAGGATCGAACCCAGTGCTTCATGTGTGCTAGGTGAACACTCTTACTACTGAACTACCACCCTAGCCCCTAATTTATTAACACTTGAAATTATTTCTTAAACTTTAGATGTTCAATTGAGAACAACATCACCTGGACCTATAATCTACAGTGTTGAACACACATTTTCTTCTAGGAGTTGGATAGTTTCTGGTCTTAATTTCTAAGTCTTTGATCCATTTTGAGTTGATTTCTGTGCAGGGTGAGAGATTAGGGTCTAGTTTCATTCTTCTACATAAGGGTAACCAGTTTTCCCCACAGTATTTGTTAAAAAGGCTATCTTGTCTCCAATTTATGTTTTTGGCACATTTATCAAGGATCACATGACGATAGATATGTGGGTTTGTCTCTTTTATTCTGTACAATTGGTTTATGATTCTGTTTTTCTGCCAGTGCCATGTAGTTATTGTTACTATAGCTCGATAGCTTAATTTGAAATCAGGTATTGTGAAGACTCCAGAGTTGCTCATTTGTTTTCAAATATGTTCAATCACTCAGTTTCTCTTTATTAGAGATTTTAATTCATTTATATTCTAAAATACTATTGAGAGATAATGCTTACTATTGTGTTTTCTGGTTAGTTTGTTGATTCTTTTTTTAAAATTATAATAAATTTATTTATAATCTAATTAATTTTATTCTGAACTCGTGAATTGGAGAGGTTTGTTGATTCTTTGTTCCTTTATTCCTCTCTTTCTGTATTCTTTTGTGATTTGATGATTTCTATCATAGTGTGCTTTCAATCTTTTTAATTTTTTGTTTCTACTAAAGATTCATACTCTGTAGGTACCATGAAGTTTATATAAAACACTTTACACTAATGATATTAATAATAGGACATGTTACGCTGATAACATGTTTGCTTTGATCACTTGCACAAACTTTGCACTTTTACTCCTCCAATTTGCTTTTGTAGCTTATATCTCTTGAAAATAATTTAGAACTTTTAAAAAATGTTTTTAAATCTTTATATTTCAGGTGTAATTTCCATACCAACATTTCAGTAGAGTGTTGTGGGGTTGACTATATAATTACTATTACCAGTGAGTTTTATATTGTCATATATTTTCACATTGCTGCTTATTGGTCATTCCCTTCAGCATGAAGGATTTCTTTTAGCATTTCTTATAAGGTAGATTTGATGGTAAAAAAAAAAATCCTTTACTTTTTGTTTATCTGAGAAAGTTTTGATGTCCTCTTAATTTTATTTTAAAACAGGATACATGTTCTTGGTTAGCAAGTTTGTTCTTTACTCCTTCCTTCCTTTCTTTTTTTCTCTCCCCCTTCCTCCTCCTCCTCCTCC